TCTGGAGAAGGACGAAGATGACTGTAGGTATCGGTTAGCATATCCTCTTGGGTGTAGACGAATAGCTGCGCTTACGAAGGGTAAGAATGTAAACCCAGAGACGGCCAATCTGCGGGATCTCGCTCATGGGCGACCAGATGAGAGGCCCAAGACCGTATCCAGCAACGTACAGCGTCAATCCCAAGGTCGCGGGGACCTGAGCGACGCCGAACTCTGCCATCACGCCCATGAGACCGGGCGTGTAGATGGCTGAACCGATGTATACCGAAAAGGTGAGAAAGCAAATCTCAAAGGTGACGAAGTACCTCTTCGCTCGCGACCAGTTCCTTGGGTTCTGACGGACTGTCAGCAAATTCAAGGATAAAATCATGGAGCAAACATACCTGAGGATCATCCGGACCATACCAGTCGATAACATGAAGGTCCTTGCCCTTCTCAGGGTCGACTTTCAAACCACTGGCCTCATTGACGCCGTTGCCAACCGTACGCGACGAAGTCTCCGAATCGCGTCCCTCCCGGTTCCTCACACCATGCGTCTGAGCAAGCTCATCGATCTCGTCCTTGTTCTCCGGCGCCTGCGTAGATCCATGGTAGGCCGCATACCCAGACTTCTCATGACTGACATACTTCTTCCAAATCTCTGGATCCTTCTCTTCAGGATACTGAAGATATTTGTTGCGCGTCACAAGGCGGACGATATGGCCAAAAGCCGAGTCGCGAACGAGATCAAACATGATGCTCACTCACGGGAGAACGTGTGTTGTACAGAGCAAGGTGGGCGGTAGGCTTGGAATATAGAGAAAAGAAACACACAACTATCTTCCCACCGAAGCGCCTGGCATCGAATGCTTAAGTCCACGACACACCCGTGACATCATCGTCCCCATCACGCCCACCAGCTCGATCTAAGAAACCCTAAGGAAGCTTATCCGTCCGCCAGGCGCCGCAAAGCGCACCCACGGAAGCCGAAAACACCCCTTGCAGTCACAACTGCCAAGTCTTTGAGGCTCGAAAAGCTTAGCTCGATACAAGATCTGGACTGGTGATGGCATTTGTGCGCGAGGCTATCGAAAAGTCCATGACGCGCCGCATCGTTGAGATCGGCGCCAGGGCACTCAGATCGCGCGCACACTACGCGAAGGAGATCTGGCGTTTTACCTAATTCGCTCGGAATGTCGCGGATGGACTACGCGTGGTGTATTTGTGATGGGGAGAATGCGCTGGCGGACGGGCGAATGACGTGCCGGGTGAAAATGTTTATCTATCATTTAGGTTTGTTGTGATGGTCTGGACTGGTTGGACATGTGATGACGTCGTGAGTGAAGAGGTTGTGGGTGGCTGGAGGTGCGACTCATGCGCGTCACTGGTCATGACTCGTTGACATGTGCGATCGAAAAACTCCGAGACGCAAACTTGACGCATGCAGATGGCTATGTCTCACATAATAGCGTGCAAATATGGAACGGCTCTAGATGAAAAAGTCATTTGGGCATCAGCAAAGTCGACACCCCATCGCGAAAGTAAGCAAAGCAGCTCCGCTCCACCTTCAGGAGTCGTCTCAATACCTATCCACTTTCATCCCCATCTCAGTCCTCATGTCAAATTCCCTAATCTTCTCCCTCTGTGCATCATCACACACCAATTCCCTTTCCGTATTCACCCAGTCCTCCCACGAACCAAACGCGGCCAACCTCTCTTTGACACTGAGCCCATCATCTCGGGTCTTCATATCCATATCAGCGCCTGCCTGTCTCAGCACCGCAAAAGCCTTTACCCAGCACCTTGATACAGCGTAATGCAGTGGCGTCCATCCATTCTCGTCACTGTGGTTTACGTCCGCGCCGTGGTCTATGAGCGCTTGTGCGATGTAGGGGTTTGAACACAGACATAGTGGCGTCCGTGCCTTGCTGTCTTCAGAGTGGGGTGAGACGCCTTTGGATAAGAGGAGTTTAGTGGCTTCAAGATTGTGAAACTGGGATGCGAGATGCAGTGGTTTGCGGCCGCTGCCATCGCGAGCTGTGATATCGGTGTCTTGATGCTTGAGCAGGTCCAGTGATGGACTACCGTCACGTTCTACCATACGGTCCATGTGTAGGGGTCGTTTGAGCGCGATGTGAAGGGGCCGGTCGCCGGTGTTTTGGCAGATGATGTTTGGGTCTGCGCCGTAGGAGAGCAAGGTGGGAACGACGGTGGGGGTATTTGCCATGCACGCGAGTGCTAGGGGTGTGTAACCCCCATGATCTTCCACATTGATGATATCGTTGCAGGATGCCTCTAACAGGAATTCCACACTACGGTTCATACTGGCCTGTGCTGCATAATGCAAGGCAAGTCGTCCTTTGTCGGTCGTACGTTGTCGAACAGAGGCACCTCGTCTCCGTAAGAAAAAAGCTGCAACTTCATGGCCTTCTACTATGGCAGCGATCAAAGGGGTGTGACCGGCATCGTCTACAGCGTTGATGTTCAGTGGCTCCTCATCGGCTAGATTCAACTCAAGGAGAAATTTGAGCACTCCGACTTGCCCACAAGCAGCGGCAATGTGCAAAACGCCTTGCTTCTTCTTGTTGACAGTAGACACATCTGCACAGCGTGTGACCAGAAAGTTGACCAGCTCCATATTCATGCCGCACGCCATGAGTAGAGGTGACATGCCGTCGTTGTTTTTCGCGTTGATGTCGGCGCCTTTCCGTCTTAGTGCGTCGATGAGTTCTTTCTGATTGTATCGGACAGCAACGTGCATCGGAGTAGACCCATCGTCAGCCTTGTCGTCGCTCACATCAGATATGGAATCCAGCATCCGGAACGCTAGGCTTTTGGCAATCTCGGCACTCCCACCATCGAACGCGCTCACTACACTCAGAAAGGCAGAAGACTGGGCGTCCGGTCCTTTCATCACCTTACATTGCCCACTCGCTAGCAAGAGATCGACGACAGCCATTTTCTCTGGACGGTCATTTTCGAATCCCAAGATGGCGCGATGTAGTGGCGTGACCCTCTTTTCTATGGTGGGATTTTGCGAGAGCTTGGCCGGATCAGCACCAAATTTGAGAAGTACTTCGACGAGTTCCGGGTTACACGCCAGCCCGCTGACTGCGACGTGGAGTGGTGTGTAGCCCATGAACCCGAAGACATTTGGATCGGCTCCAAGTCTGAGCAGCTCTGCAGTTATACCGACATCCCTCTTGGCCAGTGCAGCATATAGCATATTGCAGATGGCTTTTGGCCTGACGAGCTCTCCGCCTTGATCTAAGACCCATTCGACCCAACCCAGGTTCTCCCCGTCGGTGGAGTGGGGATCGATTTCTTGGTACATGATAGAAACGGCCTTCATCACTGGTATTAGTTCTACCTTAGATTGCGCAGTGGCCATTTGGAGTGCGATAGTATCCTTTCGGTAGTCTGGTCCACCAATGGCTTCTAAGAGGATCTTGGCAGTAGCGAGATGGCCTTTCGTCAAGGTCATATTGAGGATCGTATCGCCATCAGCCCAATCGACTTCGAATTCTGGTTTGTAATCTGCTCCGTGTGATATCAGGACCTGTAGTACTTCTGCATGTCCTTGTATTGCAGCAAACATTGCCGGGGTGAAGGACTCTGGATCCTCACTAAGTGCATTGATGTCTGCACCGCTAGCAATCAATAGTTGTACGGCTTCCAATCGGCCATTCATGCTGGCGAGTGATAGGGCAGCTGTTAATATCAGTTGCTGTTCAAAAAGTCGCGACGGCTACATCAACTTACTGAGACCTTCCACACTACGGTCGTCTACCCTCGCGCCTGCCTCCAACAAATAACGAACAACTTCATGTTGTCCGTACTCCGCCGCCCACATCAGAACAGTGCAGCCATTTTCACTTTTCTCGTGCAGATCTGCTCCTTTGGCGAGAAGTAGTTTGACGATTGCAAGATGTCCATGTTTTGCGGCCAGTATCAAAGGCGTCCTCTCATCCGCGCAGATCTTACTGATCTCTACTTCCTTACCGATCAGGAAGTCAGCTCCATGAATCATGCCGTTCGATGCAGCGAAATGCAACGCGTTGATGTCTTCTGTTCCCACAGCTTCCAAGCTGGCGCTGTAGTCGAGGAGAAGCTGGATGATCTGGGGTGCTCGATCTTCTTGCATGACGGCGTGGTGGACCGGAGGAAAGCCGTCGAACGGGCGGGTCACATCCGCGCCTCTTTCTAGCAAGAGCTTTATGATGGCGATGTCTTGCTTCCAAATGGCGAGGATCAATGGTGATTCTCCCTCGTCTGTTCCACGTTCAATGTTTGCACCGTCGTCCAGCATCTTCTTCACGCTGTCGAAGTCTCCGCTTTTGATCGAGTCGTGGAACTCATCGTAATCGATTGGCCAAGGTCGGCTTTCCTTGGAAAAAATCGTTCCTTTGCTGCGCTCTGTTTCTTCAGTCACCGCTATAGTCGGTACGGGCATGCCGTCTTGGGATCCAGACATGCTCAGAACATCGAGGTCGTGCTCTACTATTTCGAAACCGTCATCGGAACTGCGCGAGGTTTCGTGCGCAGTATCAGCCCTCAGTGATGGAGTTGTCGCGCTCATGTTGGGTATGGAAGGCACGTTTGGAATTAGTGCAACGACCTTGAGCGTCGTCCGACCGGAGAAGATGATGTACCAATAAACGCGCCGAACAGCTCCTGTTAAGAGTCTAGAAAGTATGAGCCGAGGTGCGACGTTATCGCTGTGCGTGTATGATCTGGCGGCATTATGACTTCAAAGCTGAACTTATCAGCTGCTAGGCAACACTGCCCATCGGGCGCAAGGCAAGAAGCGTGGCCGCGCTAATGCTGCACGGTCAGATTGGTCAAGCAGTCTGGCGGGCGCAAGAGAGGGGTAGTGTGGCGCATGGCATGCAGTGCAGCAAAACTTCATAATTGTTGATTTTTGAAATCTTATTCATCTGAACGCACGATACCTAGGTAACAGAAAGAGCAGTCCTGATGTTGATCGATTAGTTTAGGCACTGGCGCTTGCTGAGAACGGACTAGTCATCCTTCTCCAGCCATTGTTTACACGCCTCGTAAACCTTGGGGAAGGCGTCGTCAAGAGCCAGGAGCTTCTTGAACTTGTCCTCGCTTATGCACTTGACGAAGTGTAGCATCGATACAAAGATGAAGTCGGCATACGAGACTGCTCACAAGTTAGAACATGAAGTCGACATCATCCAGCCAGCGCATTGTTACTTACCAGTCTGACCCAGAAAGTAAGGCCCACCGTTCTTCCTCAGTAGATCGCCCACCTCCTTCGACGGTGCCTTAGCCGCCTCCCAGCACTCGTCCGCATTGGCGTCCTTTTCGACTTGTTCGAGCGGCTTCCCGAACATCTTCTCTCTAGTCTCATTGAAGTAATCTGCACTCGGCTTGTTCAGCAGCACAACTGGTACCTGAGGAATGAGTAGTGGCCTCAGTGGGCCAGCTATCTTAGCAATATGGTCCCTGATCTGCACAACGATGGGGTCATCGAGATGCAAAGACGGAGTCGGGTGTTGCTTCTCAAGTTCGTAGGCAATGGGCCAAGAATCCATCTGATAGGTGCCGTTGGCATGCTTGATAGCGGGACTGGTGTACTCTGCGAAATAGCCTGGCGCGTCCTTGGGGGTTGGCGGGATGCCGAGGGCTTTGAACTTGGGGGCCAGGTCTGGGTATTCTACCCATTCAGTCGTGAAGTCAATCTTCTTGTAGTTCAAAACCATGCGAGCTGCGATTCTGTTAGTGTTGCTAACATAGCATTTGTGGTGTGGATGAACTCACTCTTCCATGGGTTCAATGACCATGAGGAACCACTCCTGCTAGGCAGATCGTATAGAACCACCTTTGACGACGACATAATGTTTTGATCTCGATGATTGATGATCAACAGCAAGATTGAGATAGATGCGACAAATATGCAGCTTTGAGACTGGTTGACATCACGCCCTTCGTGCCTTCTCCACAGTCATTTGTCATCTAGTGTTAGGTGGGGAACACCTGAGGCTAATCGGCAGTCGCTCTCGCGCGCGGGCATCATCATCAGAGTAACCATTCCCCTGCTCTTACAACAACGGATACGTCGCATGAATAGCACAGGACCGTCATGATGCCTCCTACAACCCCGAGCATTGGTGGGTGCCCGCAAAGGTAAGAGCTGACAGTTTGACAACCGCGGCCGGTTACGTGGGTACTCACTCCGCAACGCTTACAACAGCAACAACCACAACGACGTTGACATCGGCCTAAGCTTATCTCCGCTCTCGAAGTGCTTCCACAACTGCATGGTCGAAGTCAGCTGCATTTCGCGACGTACTGCAAGCCTCCAGCCTTGCGCTTCTACCCTCCCGCAGCTGCATCTTAGGCGAATGAGCGTTCCGGCCCCCCAGATTTGTTGTTCGTGGCGTACAAACACTTGGAGACTACTGGACTAGAAACGCCTCGATAATTCGCGTGCAGTCAACAGCCTATTTAGCTAACAATAGGATTACCGATCGCTACACTCGTTGGTCTAGCGTGAGACTCAGCCTCCAGTTTGGCAAATCAAGCCTACCTGGGATGAAGGAGGGTGGGCTGATGTACTTGTCCGAACCCAGGCTTCACGATAGGCGCATGGTGAGTCGTTGATGTGCTTTTTGGTTTCTATTCTTACGCTTTGGTACTTTCTACCGTCCCTCTATCAGCCTCTGTACTGGATTCACAGTTGCAGGTTGCTCCGCCCGCGTCGTGCAACGCCAAAGGCTTGCAGATGCGGCTGCTGTGGCCCCCAAACTTTCAGCCCCCAATATGGTCGTGGCGCGAAACCCGTCCGAGAAGCAGCGATAAGAGCGCGACGTGCGCTCATGAACATTCCCCACTTCCTCTACTTTAAATTACCCCTCTTGCGACTTCCTTTGGCAGTACCATTGTGGAAATCCCTTTTCCATATCCGCATACCCGGGAGACACAGCCACAGGCCCGGTATCTTCGACATCGCTAACGAATGCGCGTGCCGCCCCGCTCTCTACTCAGCTTGCTATCTTCGCCTAAAGTACCTGCAGCCTGCCGTCTGACGGCGCGCGAGAGCTCAAGCCACGCAAACTCATCTCTGCAACTGTAGGTTGAGGGAGCAGGACACAAACACATTATCCAATCGCCCAGGACCAGATAATGAACACCATGGATCGGAATCGTACTGTGAGTGGAGGACACTCCGACCATGCGCCATTGATGAGCCATGCCGAATCTCCAGGCTACGACAGCGGCGATGTGGCGATGCAGCATGTTGACGACATATCATGCTCGCCGTCCAACTCAGCATTAAACACACCCTCCATGGTCCAGTCACCGGAGATGATGGAGTCCAAGGGCGGATTTTTCGCCAGCATAGGCAGCCCCAGTTCCACCTTTGACGTTGAGGACGGAACTCATCATCACAACCAACGCACTCCCATCAAGCGCTTCGATCACCGTGAAGCACGAAAGACCCTCATGCTAAACGCTGCGTTGAGGCTACTCGGAACATTATTCTTCAGCGCGTTGATGTGCGTCACACTTCGAGCGTGGGAAGGATTTCGCCAACCCGTTGCGCTTTCTAGGATGGATGTTAAGATCTTCAATTCGCTTACACTCGCTCTTTCACTATGTCTGGGTCTGAACTTACTGGCCTCTTTGAAGCACTACGCATCGGTGATCCGATGGTCTTTCCTTACGAAGCGATACATCAGCCTGGAGGTATTCGATCTCATTCTACACCTCGAATCGCTGGCTAGTGTTACTAAGCTCATGATCATATCCTGGCCTGGAATACGTAACAAGAAATGGCTGCGCAAGTTCCGGTGGTTCAAAGACATCAGAGCAGATGGGACGAAGTGGATGTGGCTTGCATGTCTGGTATGGCTTGCTATCAACCTCGGATCTCAGGTTCTGGTCGCATTACTGAGTCTGTTCTGGCCAATGGTGACTTCGGAACTCCCCCTTCTGGCCAACGGAAATGTAACAGTAGCCGACTTGAACGCCTGGTACATTGACACCAATCCAATTATCAACAACGCCGACGAAGAGCCTCGACTGATGAATGACACAACTCTAATGGCGGCCTGGTCGTTTGGCATGGAGGCCGCAAGCTACCCCAACTACACTCTTGGGGAGATAGAACATGCCGAATCCGATCTATCCGTTTTGGCAGGTGCACCAATTTACAGAGGCGATGGCGCCTGGTACTACCGCTTTCTCAACCGCTGGCCGCCACGCCCCAGCACCCGCAACGTCACCGTGAAGGCAACGTGCAACCACCTCGAGCTACTGAACGACACTGTCCAACTTTCAGACGACAGCATTTATTACCTCTTGGCAAGAGAGCGTGGAACGGAGGACTATCTCCCGTACTACTTGCCCGAAAACGTTTATGGTGAAACCATTTGGGTTGGATCCGTGGTAGAACACTGCGGCCCAAGATGCACAAACTTCACCGTTGTGCAGCAACCATTCGGCAACATACGCAGCACGTCCCTATTCGTCTGCAACAACACCCTCGGAGAAGTGACCAAGCCCGACAGCACAGACCTGAAACCACACACAGACGCTGACAAGGCAGCCCTGTACGGTAGTGACGAGTTTGCCCGCATAGCTGCTGGTACAATCGCCTGGACGGGTATTCCTTGGGACCTCCGAGACCGACAGACTAGATACTACGGCCAAGGCTCCAAATGGTCGCCCGATCACGATGTGACGCAACAAGAAGTTGAGGAAATGCTGATGCGTTTCACAATCGGCGCTGTAGCCGCCTTCGACAACCACGGCATCCGATATAATCTCACGGATCAAACCGTTCCTTTACCAGGCCAACAACTTGATGTAGATTGGTCCTACATCTTCAGCATCCTAGGTGGGATATGTTTGATCCAGTTCCTCGCTCTCTGCACGCTGGGTCTCTTCGGCAACCGCACGATTGTCCGCGACGAGAGTTTCTTCAGTATGGCTATGCTGTTGAAACCTGTGGTGAGTCGTATTGGAGGTGATGCGGCGATGGTCATGAGTGGGGATGAGATCAAAGAGACGAGGGCGCTGCGGTTCAAGAAGATCATGTATGATTACCATGAGGGGGAGAAGGGGGAGCCGAACAAAGTCGCTATTTTCTTTGAGGGTGAGGATCGGAGGGAGAGTCGGAAGAGTTGGGCCGCGGGGAGTTATAGCTAGGGGATAGATGTACGTCGGGCGTTCTTGAGAGTTGTTTCATGTAATGCACATAGTTATATCATTTTGAGTCGGCTACTTCAACAGCATCATAGTACAGTACTCTCTCTCCTTCATTTCTTCTTACCATCCAAATCCGTGTAAAAGTTCCATCCAAAGTTACCCGAAGGATCATTGAACCGCATCTTCTTATCAATACCAGTAATCTTCTCTACATCCTCCTTGGGCAGCGCAAAGTCACCCTCCAAGTTCGCCTTGATCCTCGACTCAGTCTTGCTCTTGGGAATAACAGAATGACCCTTGGCAATACCCCACGCCAAAGCAACCTGCGCACCAGTCTTGCCATGCTTCTTGCCAATCTCCACAAGTACAGGGTCGTCCATGAGTTTGTTCATGTTCTTCCCAGCATCGTAGATTTCGTTCTGATTGCCAAACGGCGAGTACTGCGTCACATGGATACCCTGTTGCTTGTGGAAGTCCGTGAAGTCGTTTTGCTGGAGGTAAGGGTGGCATTCGATCTGATGAGCCGCAGGCACAACACTCGTTTCCTTGATCAAGCGCTCCATTTCCGCTTTGCTGAAGTTCGACACGCCAATCGCGCGGGCTTTACCGCTTTTGAAGCACTTCTCCATGGCCTTGTAGGTATCGACGTAGTCGCTGTCGCCCACTTTGACTTTGCCGTTAGAGTCTTTGGGGAACATTTCTGAGCCACGGGCGAAGGGCGAGGGCCAGTGCATGAGGTAGAGGTCGAGGTAGTCGATCCCGAGGTCCTTGAGGGATGCATCGAGTGCGGCTTCTACGTCATCGGGGTGGTGCGAGTTGTTCCAGAGCTTGCTGGTGATGAAGAGCTCGGAACGGGGGACGCCGGACTTTTTGATGGCGTTGCCGACGGCGGGCTCGGTGCCGTAGATGCGTGCTGTGTCGATGTGGCGGTAGCCGGCTTTGAGGGCCATGGTGACGGCTCTGTTTTCTGTATTAGTAAAACGACACGCTTCTCGACGACAAGACGAAAGCTTACGGTTCTTGAGCCTCCTTGTCTTGCCAAGTTCCAAAGCCAATGGCAGGAATCTTGGCGCCCGTGTTGAGCGTGTGGGTTGTGCCGTTGTGCGCCATTCTGATTTGTTGCGGGAGGACTTGTCTGGTTATTTGTGAAAGTCGGTCTGTGGAAGTTGTGCGTAAAGAACGCGATGCAGATAAGGCGAACATGTTGGCTTTATGTGTGCTGTTTGTTGGTGTCTTTGGTTCGCTCTTAGTGAGTCTTTATGGTACTCAAAAAGAGGGTAGTCAATCGTCATGGCGGGCGATGAGCTTCCGAGGTTGAAAAACGATGATGTCACAGGGTTCACCAACCATCATGGTGTCGATGGAGGATGCGGGAAGCTAGACGGCAGATAGCGAACGTTTGGCCTCGGGAATACTAGAAGCGGAGGACACACTTGACCGCTTCTGGAACGGTGTTGATCAGCACTTTGTCATGTGGATGTGATGACATCTGATTCGGGGTTAAGCACCACTCGGAGATATCCACAAAGCTTCGCGTGCGAAGGATGTTACACGTGGAGAATACGATGAATGTATCTTCGTTATCAGATACGTATTGAGATCGTAGCTTGTACGGGATGAATTACTGGTAGGTCGCCATCAAACCATGCGGACTCCACAATTAACGTTGTACAACTTCAACACGGCTTCACTCATAGCACCTGTTAACCTGAATCCTCAAGATAATAAAGTCAATGAGTAGAGCACCATGGTATCAAAGAGAAGTTCAACCCTTAGTCAAACTTCTACTATCCAAAGAATTACAAGCTCGCAATAGCGATACGCCGATGCGTGAAGAACAATGCTGGATGAAAACAAAAAAGCCTAATGCCCACCGCCAGTATGAATATAAGAAACGAAAGAGAGGGGTATCAAACAAGCCACCGAAAGGATTACCGAAGCGAAGAATAATTCCACCGCTGAAAGTTCCAATAAGAGCGAACCAACCCACACAAAAAGGCGACGCAACCCGCAGACGTTCCGTCATCGCTACTATTATCCGACCAACGTGATCGAGGAAGAAGAGGATCGGTCTCGCTACCGTCAGAGTCATCTTCCGAAGTAGGTTCATTCGGCTCCTCTTCCAAGGAAGGGTTGTTCGGGTCCGGTATGCCCATTTCATCCAACGTTTTGTTAATCGACTCAAACAGGAAGTCGAGATGCTCGGTTGGAGACCTAGCAATCCTTGTGAGCCATGTGACCCGCATATTCTAACGTGGAGCGTTGGGACATGGTAGGAATGCGGATGCGGATGTGCAAAGGGTCAAATGTTTACTGAAAGACGAGAGCGGTGAGGATGTAGTTATTAGCAAAGTTCCAGTAAGAGTGCGACTCGAGAGTTTCGTTGGGTTGATATATACGTCCGCCGTATGCGAGACGAACTATGAGGGTGGGATCGAGCTATATGTGGTTAGTAATGTACATGTAGTAAATGAGAGGCATGAAGACAATCAAGTCCGACATACCTTTGCTTGCTTCTTCAGCTTCTCAATAATGGTCGCGACCGAGTCTCTCATCCGCATGACGACCTGATGATCCCGCTGGTCGTGGCTCGTCCTTACTTTCACACGTATAAGGCTGCCGGAGTCGTCCGCGAGGGTATCTTCAACCGTCTCTTGCACAGCACTGGCGCTGGCATCTCCAGCCAAGTCTTTGTCGTCCATGCCATCCTCTTCTGCTAGGCCCTCTGGCTCTACTACCACCCACTCGGGGACTTTGTATTGGACGCCAGTCGCATCGTAGACGCCTCGCCAGAGCAGGCCCGTCGGGCAGGTGCAGTCACTGACATCGAGCATCGTCTGCGCCTCTTGCAACTGCCCAGCCTGTAGATGCTGCGCTACAAGACGTATGGCACCCCATATCTGCTCCGACCCCGTGACCTGTGTATCCCACCAGTCTTCGCGCTCTTTCTCTAGCCGTGATCGGGTCCATGTCGAGTGCGTAGAGTCTGTCAAAGGCTGGACGCGGCTACTGCTCTTAGCAGTGGGTGAAGCGAGCGTGTTAGGCAGGCGCGAGCGCTGAGTCGGAGATATGGGCTTGAGGGGCGTGTTGGGGCGGTTGTCGGCATCTGGGCGACTCGGCGGTGGGTGCGCATTGCCCTGCGAAGCATGTGAGGCGCGTGGTGAGGGGATAGAGCTGGGTCGCGTCGACGGCGCTGTGATGTTACGCGACGACGAATGCGCGAGGACAGCAGGCGGAGTGTCGTCACTCGTGCGGGAGGCGCAACAACCCTAATGGTGTGTGTTAGAGCATGCGAACTGCTGGTACTTGCGCTGAGACACGCGATCGGCATCCACCTACCATGGTGAAGCGATGACATGTATGGCCTAGCAATGCACAGAGCGAAGGTAGGAATGCAGCGGCAATACGAGCGGGGTATGAATGTGAAGGCAAGTGAAAGATGATGGCATGGGCATGGTGTTTCTCAGAAAGAGAATAAGGGCGAGCTGTGTTGGGTAGAGACGAGGCTGCCGGGTCCAGACATGGAAGTATCAATCGATAGCACCAAGGAAGGCGCAGTCAACTTGCGCTGTATGGTCCCCCCAGTGCGCCTTCCGCTCTTGCCGTGCTCATGATGCGACAATCTTGCCCAAGCCTTGCCACATGTCTTCATGCGCACACCCAGGGCTGGGCCGGTCTATTGCAGGTTGGTGTCTAGTTCACACTCATCCGGGCAGCACACGACCGTTGTGAGTGAGCGTCATGCAACTTGGTCGATCCACGCGGCATACTCCTCCGCGCAAACCATCGCCATCAACGAGTCAAGACACCACAGAACACACAGCTAATACTTCAACTAAGAGCAAACGACAGTTTATTAGAGATTATTACGTCGATATGTGCCCTAGTGGCCGCTTGTGTACTCCTTCTAACGAGGCAGTACGCAGAGGGTATCCGGGGTATTGCGCGATAAAACAAATGCGTCCGAGATCCGCCAGTGGTATCAAAACGAGAGAAACAGTTACAGTGGTATCAGTCTAAACAAAGAGTCCGTCGCGATCCACCAAGAGAGAGTGACAATGAGTTGGTCCAGATGCAAGGAGAAATCAAATATGAGAGGGGATATGTGAAGAAGCTTGATCCAAATGTGACGCCTGAATCCGGGTTCAAGATCCAAAGCAGATTTTGGGGGTATCAGTGGCCGGCGGTCAAACAAGGGATTTACGAAGTCTTTGCTTTTCCGTCATTCCGTCGTGGCTGTCGTTGCAAAGGCTGACATCTTCCCACCAAACCTTACGCAGTTGTAGCGACAGTCGGGTTGGCGCTTTTCGAAGCATCGCCCACACTGTTCTCAGCGGGGATGTCGGCTACGACAGGGGCGGTGGTCTCTTCCTTCTTCTCCTCAACGGCGGGGGCGGCAGCAGCCTCCTCCTCGGCGACGGGAGCAGGGCTGGCGGCGTCCTTCTTGTCCTTGGGTGCCTTGTTACCGGTCGCCTTGGAGAGCGAGCGGCCGAGGTTGCCGAAGAACGACTTGCGCTTGTCTTGCTTGGGAGCCTCGGCCTCAGCGGTGGGCTCAACCTTGGTCTCAGCAATGGGAGCAGGCTCGACAGCCTGGACGGGCTCAGTGGTGGCTGGCGCGTTGGTGTCGGCGATCTGAGGGGCAGCCGCGTCGACCTTGGGCTCACGAGCAGGCGACTTGGCGCGGTCCTTGGAGCCGAAGAACTTTCCGAACTTGAAGTGGTCCTTCTCCTTGGAGGGAGTAGAGACCTTGGCCTCCTCAGTCTTGGGTGCCTCGGTGGCAGCGACAGCGGGCTCGGCAACGACGGGTGCGCCGACCTGGGCCTCCTCGAGGGGCTTGGCCTCAGCGGCGGTCTCGTTCTCCTTGACGGGGGTGGAGGCAAGACCGGCCTCGTGCTCCTTCTTCTCGGTGGTGGGAGACTTGAGCTTCTCAACGAAGGATCCGAAGATGGAACCACGCTTCTGGGGCTTGGGCTTCTCAGCAGTGGCGGGGGCAGCGGTCTCGTCGACCTTGACCTCCTCAGCGGGAGCAGCGACAACAGGGACGACGGGCTCGGCAGTGGTTTCCTCGGCGGGCTTCACAACGTCGTTGGCGTTGACAGGAGCAGTGGCGGGGACTATAACATGTTAGTATGGGATGATGCAAATATGGACCGAGTGAGCTTACTCTCGTCGAGGTGAGGAACGACGGCGGGCTCCTCCTTCTTGACCTCAGGCTCAGTCTTTGCGGCCTCGGTCTCCTCCTTGGGCTCCTTGTCCTTCTTTCCGAGCAGGCCGCCGAAGAGGCTGGCACGCTTGCCACGGGAGACAGAGCGGGACTTGCTCTTAGCAGCCTTCTTGCGCTTCTCTTCGTCGGAAGAAGAGCTGGAGGAAGATCCAGTGCGAGCAGCGACGGGCTCGCCAGCAGCGGCGGTCTCACCCTCGGCGAGCTTGGGGGTAGCGTCCATGCTCTTCTTGGGGGCGGAGGATGTAGCTCCCGCTAGCGCGGTGGGCTTACCTGCGGGTTGTTAGCCTACTGCACCACACAGACAGATCGCCCACTAGTGCCATCGCGACGCGACGCGACGGGGGTGATTTGGAAAAACGTACCAATCTTCTCCTTGTTCTCCTTGTAGCCCTCGCTCGACTCGATGGTGTCCTTGGACGCCTTGGCCTCGGTGATGGCCTTCTCAACGGCGACGAACCATCCGTCACGCTCGGCGGCGGTGGTGGCCTCGAAGGTGTGCTTGTGGCCGGAGATCTTGAACGCGAAAGCGACGGCGCCATCTTTGGCGAGGTCGGTGGCATAGGCCTGGGGATGTTAGACTGTGGTTTTCAACTACGGAGATTTCAACATACCAAGTTGAGGACACCGGCGGGGTGCTCCTTCTGGTCGGCGTGCTTGACGAAGAAAAGGAGGCCCTTTCCGGTCTGGCTGGACCAGGCGACAACGGGGTGGGCAACCTCGGGCTTCTCGCCGCGGAGGTACTCCCTCAAGTTGTCGGCGGCAACGGGCTCCTCGCCGAACCAGAAGTACTTCTTGGCGAAGCGGAAGGCGCTGGACGTTGTTAGTAAACGGTCGGGAAGTCGCCAAATGTGGTTGCACTCACTTCTTCAGGCCAGGCGCCTTGTAGCCGAGCGCACCGCTGTAGATGGGCTCGACGACCTTCTCCTCCTTGGCCTCCTCTACGGGCGCTGCGGCCTCGCCCTCAGTCTTGGGGACATCCTCCGTCTTGGGCGCCTCCTCTACGGGCGCGGCGACAACAGGCTCGCTGGCGACAACGGGTGCCGGCGCAGGCTCAACGGTGCCGACAGTTCCAACCTCGGGGTGCTCGACGGGCTTGGGGGCGTCGACGGGGGCAGACATGGTGTGTGGTGCTGTATGGGTTTGATAGCGTGCGTGTGGGGGTTTGTGGGTGCGAAAAGAGGAGTGTTGTGAGGCAAGCTCGGGGGTTGGGTATTACAAGATGTACGGAAAGGGAAAGTACGACGCTCGCAAAGTGCAGCGGCAGACAAGCAGGCACGACCTTGTTAAGGATGCGAAGGGCGGTGAGGAGGAAGAAGGATAGAAAATCTCAGACGCCCAAGGAAGGGGAGAACTTTAAGGTGAGGGCTGTTGCTAGGTAGGGGTTCAGGTGCAGGGATGCCACCAACGAAATTGGCTTTCGCGGCTGCACGTCCTCTTGGACGGACCCGCCAGCTGCTAGCCCGCCCGAATAGCACCATTCACCAACGTTATGCACTCTGACCTCTGAAACGCCCGCTGTGCACCGGCATCAACCTTTACTATCGTTGCCAGAGTTGCGTCTACTGTGCGTGATCCGGCATCTGGCGGATTCCACGTTGGCGCCCACGCGTCTGATAAGCAGAGAGAGGTCGACTGACCCTTGGGCGTGGTCGCATGATCCAGCTGCCCCTCTTCACACTTGCCCACGATCGGCCATGGATGTCTGGCAGAGGTTGCTATCTTTGCGGGCTCACGAGACTGATGACGGCTCCAAACACGATAGCGCCTCGTCTTTGTCATCGTCCCATCGACACCCATCTTCACTAGGTGTCCGCTGTACATCCACCAGTACTGGACTGCATCAGTACTCCGGCACAGTAGTAGTGCCCAGGTGAGCACCATGAGTATAACCGTGATCGACATCGGTATCTTGCATCCAACCCACTCCATGCACATCATCACCCGAGCGCCCTCGAGTCTCACACACTCAAAAGGCGGCTCTACGGCTGGCCGCTGCAGTGAACACCTCCTTCAACACCGCGCACCTCTGTGCCACGCCTCCGCCGTCTTGGTTGCGCCGTCGCGAACTCTGCACAACTCGCACTCTCGCGCCATGCCAAGGCTGTCTGAGCATTCAAGGCTAGACACTTCTAGCGCCTGCACGTAACGAATCGCGGCACGCCACCGCCCTCCAAGCGTGATCCCCGTTTACAAAAGGCGTCAAGACCCTGGCGCCCAAATTGCTAACCTTTGCGCAAATGCTGCCGAAGAGACTACGTGCCGCCATCTTAGTCTTGATGGCGTTCACGCACGCTTGACTTTCTTTTCTTGCCAGTCCGACTCTGTCGAGGCTGGTCTCTGATCTCTGGTTCTGGCATCTGCATCTGCTATCTGGCGCGGTCAACACCTGCACTCCTGAACAGACCAGTCCTGGCATAGATCATCCACATTGGACACCGCCTTGCCACAGCAACGGGTGAAGTGAAAATTGCTAAACCCGGACTGACTCTCAAGAATGGTCGCCTTCATCTCAGATCAGCCGAAAACACCTGGCCAGTGTGACTAGGGCCATGCCGGCTCAATCTTGACCTCACGTGAAAGGGGCGTCTACCACGGGCAGCACCATGGACTAGCCTGCCACAGCTTGCACTTCAAAAACTCTCTGTTACGTATCAAATAATAGTCGCCCATTCTCCAGCTGCCCCATCACCTCGATTCACATCATTGCTGCTGCCAGACCTGAGACGCACAAAAGAAATTCCGCTTGATCTACATGCCTCCTGTCATCTCAGCGGTGGTTGCCCAACATCGCGGTACGCACAGAGCACTCGATAAAACTCCGCAGACGATCTCCCTGACAGTAATTATGACCGTACCCAATCCGCGTCTCGCTCACCGCCACAGGCACTCGGGTGCAGCAAATTTGGCGACAAGAGGCTGACGGGTTCCCGTGCGGCCTTGTGCCTGGGTTGTTCGCAACCTTGTGCACCAAGTCATGTTGCGCGCCGTTTCATGCCTTTGAAACGCTAAATGCCATCCAGAACTTTGCCATATTTACACTCCACACGTTAATCAACATCTGACAAGCCACCGTCGTCGTATCTCTGATCGAATCTCTGAGCCGCTGACAGCCCTGTTG